GGCCTGGCCAGCATCCCTGCATGTTAATGCGCTGGGGCTTGCTGCGACGGCAGCGCTGCTGCCTTTTATCTGCTTTCATCTGCTTGCTTGTTTATGAATTGGTTCCTCTCCTCCAAACCAAGAAATAGTAGAGTGAGAACAGCCAGAAAGCATGCACGTCGTAGAAGGAAGTCCAGAGAAGTGGTTTTTCAAATGAAATCTGTTTCAAAACCTTCCTACGACACCGCAAAGATTAGGAGCAACCCCAGCCCCCTCCCAAACCCATTAACCTAAAGGCCAAGTTTTAATTCTTTTGTGGCCGGCAATCCCGGGGGTCGGATCAGCCTGGAAGCCAGCAATGATCGGATTTTGGTGGCTGCCCGGAGTGCCCCGGGGGGAGGAGGGTGACAGCGTGTAACTCTGCTCTTCTCCCTCCTCGCACCCCTTTTTTCGAAGCTACTAAATAAACTAAAAATAAACCAAATAGAGGAACAAGCCAACGCACGGGGAAAACTTGAAAACGTGTTTGTTTTGGAGAAATTCAGCAGAAAAGCTCTGACATGACCACGTCAGGGCTGGGACATAAGCTGCGCGGCAGGGAGGGTGCTGGGGACGGGGCGCAGCGCAGGCGGGTGCCGAGGAAGAGGAGGGTATTTCTGTCATATGTCGTGCCTTGCCTTGAAAGTCCTGTTTCGCACCATAAATGAGCTGTCCCTGCTGCTCTCGGAAATGCAGGTGGCCGTAGGTGCTCCACGGGTTTTGGATGTGGCTAAATCAGGTTCATCGCTTTGAATTTAGGGCAGGTTCTCCATGGTCGGGAGGTCCCAGCATCTGACGTCTTTCCCGTGGCCGCATCCTGGAGTCACGCAGGCTGCTGCCGCTTTCGTGCCGTGTATTTTTCCCTTAGTTATTTCTCTTTTCCTATTTTATACCGATTTATTTTCCCATGCCAAACGTTTTATTTAGGGCTCCGTATTTCCCCTACAGTTTGACAAGGAAAATGTCAGCTCGCGCACACTGGGTAATGCTTTGTGAGGTCCTGAGCTCGCACAGAATGAAAGGCCAGCGTGCAAATCCAGGCCTTAACACAGAAATAAAGGTTTTATTCCAACGTGCGTATTAGCAGTGCTTTACTGAAAGCCTTAGCCAGTGTTTCAGTTTGCTCTGTAAATGCCTATTTTCAGCGTTGCCCGACAGGTCCGCCTTTGCATGGAGCAAAACGGGACTCTCGGGGCTGTTGCCGGCTTCGTCTGTGTTTCTTTGCCACTGCCATACGAGTGGGTAATACGTCTAGATTGACATCATCTCCTTGGGTTGATTTCTAATGTGCTTTTAAAGGCAGAGGAACCCCCCCCGGCACCCCGTGCCCCTGCCTCAGGCAGGAGTCTCCAAACAGGCAGTTGCCCGTGGGAACCGGGTTTGGCTCCGTGCGCTGGCATCAGTCACGGTCTGAGCTATCTGCTGGCAGGAGAGTCGCTCTGGAGATGTTACCGGGCTTTACACGTGCAAAGAAAATTAAAAAGAAAAAAAAAAAAATCTGATGCGAAAAACGAGATTTTTATTTGCTTAGAAGTCATCTCTTAGGCGGGTTGGGGCGTGGGGACCTGGTCCGGGTGCGCGCATCGGGCTTGACTCTCTGCGGCTCTCGCGATGCCAGGTTTGTGCGTGTTTCTTGAGAGGGGTCTCTTAGAAAGACCCCTGTAGCGGGGAGGTGCTGGTGTTAATTTTGGCGCGGGGAGGTTGCTGGTGTCCCTGCAGGGCTGGACCAGGCAAGGCTGGCCGGCACCCACCACTCCCAGGGTCTCACCAAGCACCGCACCATAAATGTCGGGCCATGAAAGTCACAAGCTTAAAATATGAAATGCTCATTAAATTTTTTTTTTTAATTAGGTTTATTTTGTTTGGTATCTTTAGGGTTTTTTAGGCTTTTGTGGCGTGTAGAAATACCAGACTGTCATCAGCTTTTTCATTAAAGTGAATACAAATTATCATGGCAGAATATAACCCCAAAAGACAGGCCCTGGAGAAAAAACCTCAAACGCCACGAAGCCCACCGCAGAGCGCTGGCAGAGCTGCCGGCCTGGCCTCTCGCCCGTGGCTGCCGCGCTGGAGGGGATGCTACATCGTGGTACGGCAGAGGAACCTCAAGTTCGTGTGGCCGAGCGCGCTGACCCTGCATCCCAAACCAGTTACAATAAAATAAAATAAAGCCTGTGTTATAGAGAGCTGAGGCTGAAGGCCTTCTTGTTTAGACAGAGATGGGAAAAAAAAAAAAGCTCTGGGAAGTGGGTGGAAAGCACTTGGTGTGCTAAAGCTCAGGGAAGCATCATCAGAGAGAGGGAGGGCACGGTCCACCTCATCCCGAAATTTGCAGGGACTGGTTGCGAGTGCCTTGTACCGGCTGCTCTGCACTGGAAGGACGCTGTGCTGTGAAGGGACTCTTCAGAAGAGATTTATTCCGACCTTTACAATAAAAGGGACATTTTGTGCAATAGTTCTGGCAACTGGAGATTTCTATGAATCTGGAAGTCACCTCGATGCCCTGGCCTGAGCGCCCCGTGGCCGTGAACACTGGTTTGGCAGGGAGGGTGCTTGGAGTGCTTTCGTTGAACTTCGCTGGGAATTTAGGGTTTTTATCTGCTAACTTGGTAGCTGGCGGTGTGTGGGAGCTGATCCCCAACAGAAAGCTGGGGAGAGGTGGTTTCCTCCCCGAAACAGCACTGAGGGGCTTTTTCATCGACTCAAGCAAGCGTTACCTATGCACAGCAGAGTTAAATTTAGCTGCTTGCTTTTCCGTAAGCAATCAGCGCGTGTTTCAAGCCCATAAAACTGGATGTGTCCTATTTCCTCGCCTCGCTTAAGGACGACTCGAGTGCCACCGTCCCCGGCCCGTGCGTTCCCCGCGGCGCTGGGTCCGTGGCCGTCTGCTCCTGCAGCAGGGACACCCCGGCTGACCTGCTCCAGATACGCCTGTTCTGAATTTTCCCTTCACGCTATAAAAAGAAAAAAGCAGGCTGAGGTGGCCGTGGCCGCCTCTCCCCCGTGCCGGCGGAGCACCGGAGGGACAGTTTCAGGTGTTGGCGGGGTGGTCCGGCGCAGGCAGCGGTGCTGCCCGTCTGCCTGCCGTGGCCTTTTGCATCAGGTGGGGAAGGGGCTGAACACCAAAGGGTTTGGTCCCTGCGCCGAGACAACCACAAAATTCATTTCCCTTGTGGTTTCGGTAGCCGGAGTTTAAACTTGGCCTTTTCTTTGCTGGTGGGGAGATGCTCCTCCCAGCTCCATCCCGGCTCGGAGGGCAGGGCAGAGGTGAGCTGGCCTGAAACCTGGGATGGGGGATAAAACCTTTTAAAAAAATACACGGGGACATCCCCCCTCTGATGGACGAGGGCAGGGTGATGCGGGGACTTGTCCCGAATTGGGGCGGTGGGGAGGGAAGCCCGTGGCAAATCGCAGGCTCAGCCCCCAGCCCGGTGCTCCTGGCCACCACATCCTTCCTGTCGGGCTATGGGATTTGTGGGTTTTTTTCAGATTTATTGTGTCAGGATCCATCCCCACGGCCAGGAGAGGAAGTTAATTTAGCAACAGCAGGAAAGGACACAATGAGTCAGTGGTAGAGGGGAACTAAAAATAATGAAATATCCAGAGAACAACTTTGTTTCATTTGGGAATTATAGTTACAAAGCAGCATCCTGGGACAAGAATGGAATTAAACAATCCTGTTTATTATTACTGGTTTTGCCTGAAACTTCAGAGTAGAGTAGCGCCATGATGCATAATTTGTATGTTGTCAGAGACAGTAATCTGACTAGAATATGCATTTTAGGTGAAATGATGTCAGCATGACTTGGATACATCATTTAAAGATGTAAACTTTGTAGGGCTATTAAAATTACTTATCTAGCGTGCTGCATAGTTGTGTTGCACCAGAAATCAGTGCTTTTGCTGCTGGTGTGCCACGTTTTGAGGATCACTGCGAAATTGTGGCATAAATTCCAATCTTTCTAAGGATTCCCTATAGAAATGCCTGCCCCGAGCACGCGATCTCTGCCTCACCCGCAGCTGATCCAGAGCAAACGTTGCACACCGTGATGGGTGCGACACAGGTGGGATCTCGGCAAGGACTGAGCAGGATTTGTGCGGGGTCGGGGAGCAGTGGCCGTGCCTGGGAAGCCTGGATCTCCGAGCAGGACTGCTGGAGCTGTAAGTGGTGCAGGTTTGGGGGCTGCCGAGCCCACGGAGCCCCCCCATGGGAGCCGGGGCTGGGGTGCTCAGCCACCCCTGAGCAGGGACCAGGCAGTGCGGGGGTCCCCAGGCTCTGCCAGCCCACAAGACGGGTGGCAGGTTAAGGCTGGATGCCGTTTTGAGCTCTTGGTTAATTCCTGGAAACTTTTTTTTTTTGCACCTTAAAAAGCTGGTTTAGCCAAGAAATAGCTCCCTGGGGTCCTTTCAGTGAAAACAAAACTTTGTCTCTAGTTAATATTGCTGTGACTGCCCATCCTCCAGGACCGCGCCGGCCGCGGGCAGCTCCTCCATCCGCCAGGATTTCGTTAAGATAAACTTCCACGGTGAAAACCCCGGGAGAAAGCCCCTTCCTCCTGCCCCCTCCAGCCGTGACTACGCCACCGGGCTTGGATTTTGACATCAGACACCGGGTTTTTTTCCTGCCCTTGTGTAGCTGGCGAGGGCTCGGGGCTATTTTTATCCGGCGCTGGCAGTGGCTGGAGGAGGACGCGACTTCCCTGGCCCGTGCAGCCTTCGCCTCCCTCTCATCAGCCGGCCGAGGCTCCGACGCCGCCGTTGACTTTATTAGGGAAAAGCAAGGTGCTCCGGAGCGGCCGGGAAGCGAGAGGGGCCGGGGAAGCATCCCTGGACAGTGGACGGTGGGCTGCCGCAGGTCTTGGCTCTTGGGGGGCCGGCGTCCGATCCCACGGTGCCGATTGAAGAGCGGAGGAAGGATTGAGATGCCCCGGCGGGAACGTCGCGCCCGCCACGTGAGGACCCGGGAGCGAAGGAGATGAGTCGGGAGGGTGATGGCATGGGTGACGTCATCAGGAAAGCAGCCGTGCCGGCCGGGGAGGGGAGTTATAAAAAGGTAAGGGACTAAAAGGAGCCTTTTGTCTGCCCACAGTCGCCTTCTCGGCTGGAGGGGGACCCGCCGAATCGCTGCCCGAGACCCTCCCAGGGTGCTGGGTTTGGGGTGCCGGAGCAGGGAAGCGCTCGGCGGTGTTTAATGCACAGGCACAGGGCAGCAAACCTTCCTCCCTCTGCGTTTCCATATCACTTTACGATAAAGAAAACGCGAAGAGATGTTTCCAAACGCGTTCTCATACCTCGAGACCCCTGGGTTTTAAGGCAATTTGCCATGTGGCTTGAGATACGCAAGTTTGACTTGGGTATGCGTTTACTAGCATATCTGCCATGAAGAAAAAGGAGATAAAAACAAATATTCTGTGGCTACAATTTCTGTTTGTAAATCCAAGAATAGCCCCTGTACTTTACAGAGATAAAATAAGGTGCTGCCTATGGGTCTGCAACTTTAAATATAGTAATTGTCCATGGCTGGTAATGACAGACCCTGGCAAAAATAGCCTCGGTGGCCCGGCTGTGTCCCGGCGCTGTGCACCCTGTTTGGCACCGATGGATGGATGCTCCGGGCATCCAGCCTCCGCCGGCCTCGCTGCTTTTTAACCCCTCGCATTGCAGTGGCACTGCCTGGTTGGGACAGGGCTCTGCCAAAGTGTTGCTGGCACCCATTAATCTGTAATTCCCTGTGTAATTAGACTCTTCCCTCTCCAAACAGGCAGAGCCTTAGCAAAGCATGCCTGGTATTCGGTCCAGGTTTGGTACCGATCGGCACAACTCCAGAAGTGCCGTCCCCAGCTGTTATTAGGAGTTGGCTGCTCTACCCAAGGTGGGGGGTCTCAGAGCACGACGAGGAGCCTGGCAAATCACTGCTACACCTCAACGCCAAATAAATCTTCCATGTGCAATTTTATGTGCTATTTCGGGTGATATCTGTCATGAGTAAAGGCTGCTAGTACAGGTGCCTGCATGCTAAATAGCATGGTGAAAAGAATAGTCTGGCTACTACTTCATAAATGACAGAAATCACACAGTATGGAGTTTGCTCGGTTTCCCAGAAAACTGCAGAAATCTTGTGCCCACTGTTGTGGGGGTCCGCTCTCCATCCTGCATCGGGTGGGTCAGGGACGGCCCCCGGCATCAGCGGTACCTCCGTGTGCCCCCAGGGATGGGGTCGTGTGGGAAGAAGGCATTTATTGGATAAATTCAGGCTCTTGACCAAAAATGGGGGGTTTTTGGTGTCGAGGTGCCGCAGCGTGTCGGGGACGGGCTGGGTGCCGGCACGTGTTGGGAGGCGGGTGGTGAAGAGCACAAACGGTTCTGTATAATCTGCAAACACCAGCGAGGTGATTGCAATAGATTTATAACCAGCAATAATTACAGCGGGCGCCGGGGCTGCGGAAATGGTGTGCTGAGTCCGCTGTGGGGAAAGGCTGAACCTCTCCTGGCAATTTGCCTTTGCTGAAACGGTTGTGTAAAGCATTTTACATGTAGGCAGTCACGGCCATAATCTGACATAGTGTTTTTATTTGTGTACTTAAACAAAGGTAGCTACTGACCTTCCGAATTGGAAGGTCAATGGTAAGAAGGAAAACATCCGCCCAAAACTGTTTTGCCTTAAAAATAAAAAGCAGCCTTTTGTTTAAAATAATGGCCTGGACCAGACTTCAGCTCTACACCAGACCCCTCTTTCGGAAATACATACATTTTTTTATTCAGTGTCAAAATACATGTTTGAATAACATGGGTTTATGTTCTTCTTGCTAGTACCTTTGCATTTTGAGTATTTGATCCATTATTTTTTATATACCAAGTAAGTATATTTGATAGCCAAAAAACCACTTGCAATTTTCCTTCTCAATTTATAGTTTTCAATACCCGGCTCAGGATGTATATAGCAGCTGTTGGGTAATTTATCTAAAGCCTGAGGTCCAGTTCCCTTAGGTATATTCTATTCCTTAGTAACTGTTCCCTATTTTATAATAACAAATAGGACTCTTGATTTCTTTATGGTCATTAGCCTGTGTCTGGTTTATAAAATGGGATATTCTGAGCTCAGTCCTGGGAGCCGTGTTATTTAGTATCCTCAGTAATGACCTGGTGGAGAAAACAAATTGCACATTGATTAAATGTACAGATGGCAAACTGGGAGCAGTTGCGTCTCAGTGGGAAATGGAGCAAAATTAAAAAAGATGTGGAGAGACAGCCCCATCTGAAAGGGGTAAATATGTGAAAGTGTGCCTGTGTTTATGAGTATTTTAATGCAAAGACGACTAGTTTTCAGCACACACTAGAGTAGGTAGGTATGCTGCTGAGGGAGGGAGCGGTCTCAGCTGGCGTGGAGGCTGGGATGTGCTGTCCCGGCTGGGCAGGAGGAGGTGGAGATGTGCTTTGGGTTCCTGATTTCATAGAATGGTTTGGGTTGGAAGGGACCTTAAAGATAAACCTAGTTGCAACCCCCCTGCCATGGGCAGGGACACCTTCCACTAGACCAGGTTGCTCAAAGCCCCGTCCAACCTGGCCTGGAACGCTTCCAGGGATGGGGCAGCCACAACTCCTCTGGGCAACCTGTGCCAGTGTCTCACCACCCTCACTGTGAAGAACTTCTTCCTTATGTCCAATCTAAATTTACCCTCTTTCAGTTTTAAACTGTTGCTCCTTGTCCTGTCACTACAGGCCCTTGTAAAAAGTCTCTCTCCATCTTTCTTATAAGCCCCCTTTATATAACCGCTATAAGGTCTCCCCAGAGCCTTCTCTCCTCCAGGCTGAACAACCCCAACTCTCTCAGCCTGTCCTCATAGGAGAGGTGCTCCAGCCCTCTCATCATCTTCATGGCCCTCCTCTGGACCTGCTCCAACAGGTCCATGTCCTTCTGATGCTGGAGACCCCAGAGCTGGATGCAGGACCGCCGGTGGGGTCTCACGAGAGCGGAGTAGAGGGGCAGAATCCCCTCCCTCGACCTGCTGGTTGCGCTTGTTTTAATGCAGTCCAGAATGCGATTGGCTTTCTGGGCTGCGAGCGCACATTGCTGGCTCATACTCGGTTTTTCATCCATTAATACCCCAAGTCCTTCTCCTCAGGGCTGCTCTCAATCCACTCATTGCCCAGCGTGTATTTGTGCTTGGGATTGCCCCGACCCACGTGCAGGACCTTGCACTTGGCCTTGTTGAACTTCATGAGGTTGGCACGTGCCCACCTTTCAAGCCTGTCCAGGTCCCTCTGGATGACATCCCTTCCCTCCAGCGTGTCGACCGCACCACACAGCTTGGTGTTGTCAGCAAACTTGCTGAGGGTGCGCTCGATCCCACCGTCCATGTCAGCAACAAAGATGTTAAACAGTGCCGGTCCCAGTACCGACCCCTGAGGAACGCCGCTCGTCACTGGTCTCTACTTGGATTTCAAGCTGTTGACCACAACTCCTTGAGTGCGACCATCCAGCCAATTCCTTATCCACCGGGAATTCCTTATCCACCGAGTGGTCCACCCATCAAATCCATGTCTTTCCAATTTAGAGGCAAGGATGTCGTGCAGGACAGCATCAAATGCTTTGCACAAGTCTGGGTAGATGACGTCTGTCGCTCTCCCCTTCTCCACCAGTGCTGTAACCCCGTTGTAGAAGGCCACCAGATTTGTCAGGCACAATTCGCCCTTGGTGAAGCTATGTTGGCTGTCACCGATCACCTCCTTATTTTCCATCTGCCTTAGCATAGTTTCCAGGAGGATCCGCTCCATGATCTTTGCTGGGCACAGAGGTGAGAATGACCGGCCTGTAGTTCCCCGGGTCTCCCTTTTTTCCCTTTTTAAAAACAAGGCTTATGTTTCCCCTTTTCCAGTCAGTGGGAACTTCCCTGGACTGCCACGACTTCTCAAATATGAGGGATAGTGGTTTAGCCACTTCATCCGCCAGTTCCCTCAGGACCCGCGGATGCATCTCATCAGGTCCCATGGACTTGTGCACCTTCAGGTGCCTTAGGTGGTCTTGAACCTGATCTTCTTGTACCCTGGGTGGTTCTTCATTCTCCCAGTCCCTGCCTTTACCTTCTGCAACTTGGGCAGCATGGCTGGAGCACTTGCCAGTAAAGACTGAGGCACAAAAGTCATTGAGAACGTCAGCCTTCTCCATGTCCTGGGTAACCAGGTCTCCCGTTTCCTTGGGCCCACATTTTCCCTAGTCTTCCTTTTATCACCGATGTACCTACGGAAACTTTTCTTATTGCCCTTGATGTCCCTGGCCAGATAATTCTATCAGGGCTTTGGCTTTCCTAACCTGATCCCTGGCTGCTCGGACAATTTCCCTGTATTCCTCCCAGGGTACCTGTCCTTGCTTCCACCTCTGTCGGCTTCCTTCTTCTGTCTGAGTTCGTCCAGGAGCTCCTTGTTCATCCACGCATTTCTGTCGGAACACAAGGAAAATCAGAAGTAGACGGGAAGATGTGGGAGAGGATCATCCCAGTTGGAAAAACGGGGAGGCTAGGTATCCGTGACTTCATGAAATATTGTGGTGCTGAGGGATGCAGCTGGCACTCACAGGGGAGACACCCACGTGCATCGTGCGACGGGCAGCATGAGGAAACGGCACAGGCAACCCTGTCTCTGCTTTCAGTCCATTAAAAAATATTTCTCATTCATTTTTACTTATTTTTTTCACTGTGCTGCCTTCACCACCTGGCTGGCTATTTTTTCTTCTAAATCTAACTGCCTCTGTGTGATCGAGGCATCGATTACTGAAACCTGAAAAAAACAAGGCAGAAAAACATAGCTGCGCAGTCTGGGTGGAACCTCGGAAACTGGGAGCTGAACCCAAAAACTTGATACCACTTGATGCCACGGGCGTTATTTTTAATACTTTAAATGAAAGGAGTTGGGTTACAAATGAAGTATGTATTTTGGTAAGGGATCGACTATATAATGGGCAGTGTGATAATGTAATGTATGTAGTCAGCACTGGAGCTGGAATTAAATTATTAGCTATTTTAAGTTAATAATTTGCATTTCACTTCCTTGTATCAAAAAAAGGTGCTTTATTTTTAGTGAGACAGGTGAAATATGGGAAGCACAGTTATATTAATTAACACCGTGGAAGCAGCCCATGCTTGCCTGCTATGTTTTCTTTTGTTGTGTATTCTTGATCGGGTATTATGTGTTATTTTAAAATGAAATGTTTGAGGGCTTCAAAATGTTCCTTCTATCAATAACTTGCCACCTTGTATGAATTTATTGTCAGCGTTGGCAGATAATCTGTTAGCGACAGACACCACGATAGTACTGGTACTAATTTTGAATCTAGAACTGTGATTTTCATTTATTGCACATTGATTCCACAGTCATCTCCATAATCATTGATGGGTGGTTAATTTCAAATCCCTTTGTAGTTTGCCATTATTCAAAAAAACATATCTACAAAACCACATTTTTAAAACTGTGTGCAATTTGATGGCAATGGTTAAAAATACATCTTTAAGCACATTGGCAGAAGGAGTGTGTGGTTTTGGAGGCTGCTCAGGGAAGTGGAAGATGCTAATGGTGCGAGTGTGGCCTCCGTGGCTGTATATGGATATAGATACAGATAGCGGTATATGCATTAGGTATCTACCAGATGTGTGTGTATATATAGGTACCCATCTATCAGTATGTGGAGAGAGAGAGACGCAGATGGGCTTCTCTGTTGGGATGGGCTATGTGGTCCGCCCAAGGGTGGGAGACAGCTTGGGCGATGCTGGGCATCATCAGCATCATCATCAGCTCTCCTGCGTGCACACCGGTGTGACCGGCGGCTTCATCCTTTCTTGTCGCCCTTCCCTTTCAGGCCCAGAAGAATGAGCGGGAGTCCATCAGGCAGAAGTTGGCTCTGGGCAGTTTCTTCGACGATGGCCCGGGACTTTACACCAGCTGCAGCAAGAGCGGCAAGCCGAGCCTCTCCTCCCGGTAAGCCAGGCGGCCTCGCGGCCCAAAACCTTGTTGGAGGCTGAAAAGTGGGAGATGCCTCCAGTGGGACATCCTGAGACCTGCCCTTCAGAGGATCCCTCAGTTTTGCTCGCAACCATATTCTTGAATTTTCCGTGTTTTAGAACAACGTCTTATGCTCCAAACGCAATAGTTGTATGTTACGTGGATAAGTGTAAATAATATGCTAAAATGTTAGTTTAAAACTGTGTAGAAGAGGTATTTGGATGCTCAGGGGACAAAGCAAATGAGTTTCCTGAGTTAGGTTTCCTTCAGGTTTTCATTTAGGATCTCTGTCCTGAACTGAGAATTGCCTTTGGACTTGGGCAGACCAAGAACGGTGGTGGAAGTATCGTGAATGCACAACTGGAGTTATGGTCAGGAAAATAGTTGATTAATTATTTTTTTTCCCCCAAGTTCTTTATGTTGAGTTGCAAAATACTGAGGATTTTAATGTCTGAGTGCCTGGTTTAAGGCCAGGCATGCATGTCCGAAGCAGGGCAGGGCTTGAGGACGGTCCCATGGTCCCACCAGTCCCGGGTCAGGCAGCATGGTGATGGTTGGTGAAAAACCACGAGTTTGTGAAAGCGTGTCTTCCTTCGGTGGCTCAGGAAGCGGCAGCCCGTTGGAAACAGATCTGACGCTGATAGCTAGCCCTGGTGACAGCAGGGCAGTGGAGAGCAATTAATCTCACCCACGGAAAGCAGCAGAGAATGAAAAAAATGACCTTTAACATGGCTCCTTGCTTCCCTGCCACGTCCACATGCTCCACGCAGGCTCTGCTCGCTGGACACGGCGCCGTCCCTGGGGCTGGCACGTTGCGTAGCATGGGTACCTCACTTATTCTGATTTTTAAAATCTCTACATCAAATCAACTCCAGAAAGGCTTGTTTATATTCAGCTGCTGGGGAGTAACCCATGGCACTTGGAAAGCACTGAACGCCTCCCACATTGGGAGTGAAGATCTACCTGTTGCCATGGTGTGGGAGAAGAAAAAAGTCTTAGAGAGGCATAAAGCCAGGAGGAATACTGTTATTACACCAGAGAGGTACAATTGTGAAATTAAACTGAACTGCAAGTCATTTGAAAGGGAAAACAGTTTTGCTCTGTGTAGTTACATCTAAACCAGGAGCCGCTATCTTGTAATTATAGCGCAGGTCTAATTAACGCTGCACGGCAGGGTTTGGCAGCTGTGCCATGAGAAATTACCAGCTGTACCTGAACGCTTTGGCGTTTCGATAATATTTATAGTCCAGGCAAAGCATTAGTACTGCACGCTGCCTGTTACAGGACCTACAGGAACCTTGGCAGGACCGTTGCTCTCGGGCTTGCATATGAAATAAAACAGAATAAATTGCTGGGTTTCAGGCGTTGGGGTCGTGCTCTCGAAAGGTGTATGATGCAATTTTAAGCCGAGCCAAAGGTGCATCCTGCACCCCAGCCTGGGTACCCATGTCTGTCCACCATGGCTTAAAATCTTGTGCAGAATTACAGGATGGAATCATAGAATGGTCTGGGTTGGAAGGGACCCGAGGTCATCTAGTCCAACCCCGGTGCCGTGAGCAGGGACATCTTCCACCGGCTCAGGTTGCTCAGAGCCCTGTCCGACCCGACCGGGAATGTTTGGGATGGGGCATCGACCACCAATCTGGGCAACCTGGGCCAGGGTTTCACCACTCTCATTGCAAAAAATTTCAATTATTAATGCTATCTATTCTACTAAAATAAATGGAAAACAAGAGGTTGCTGTCTGTGAGTACTAATATAAGCCCCCCGCATTGGGAATGGAGAATAACAGGCAGCAGAGCATGGGGGGAGGTTTGCCCCATCTTCAGCAGGCAGCGATGGAGTATGATGCACTGAGAAGGCTGATAGAGTTGACCCCAGAAATCTCTAGTTTCTGGGGTTAATTTTTAATGAGTTTGGAAGATGTGCAAAGCTTGAGCAGTTTCTGTAGGCGGCAAATGGGCCTGACCCTGGTGTCAGATGGATGAATTTTTCTGGAGAGCCCGGGCTGCGTGGGCTGGGCTGGTGGCTGTGGAGCTGCTCCACAGCGTGAGCATCAGCGGGGGCTTTCACAGACACCCTCTTCTCCAAAAAATCCATTCCCTTGTTTGCTCTTCGAGGCTGATCTGAGCAGAGGGAGCCGTGGGGTCCACAAACAGGCTTATTACCCTTCTGAATAAATAGTTTAAATCATGAACACATTATTTTATGTAATATAATAATATTATATATATGTTATATATAACATATTTTATATAGTTATATATTTACTATATTTTATATATACTTTACATATAGTATTTTATTTAATGTAATAATACAGACACCCGTGATGACAAAAGCTCTGCAGCGTCTCGGTAATTCTGAAGTTCATCAATAGATGGTGGTAGAAGTATTGTTTTTACCGTGCCGCTGAGTTTCCAGTCCCACGTTGAACTGCTGCTCAGAAATGACAGCGCTGGGCAGCAGCAGGAGCTTGCCCGTGTTCTGCCACGGTGGGCTGGTGGTCCTGGCTCTGCTTTTGGGTGGGCGATGACCATCCTCTTGGAAAAAAAAGTGAAAATGGTTATATTTTCCTGAGGCCCGTACAAAATCAGGACAACAGCATCCTTTCAAAAGGCGAACGACTTGCTGCTGAGGACGCCGCGGCATCTTGCCCACGTAACCCATCGGCGCAGTGGGGAATGCCGCGGGTTGCCGGCAGCCGTGCGCCGGTGCGAGGGGGCTGCCGCGTCACCCCTCCCTTTTCCCCCCGCAGATTACAAAGTGGGATGAACCTGCAGATTTGCTTCGTGAACGACAGCGGCAGCGACAAGGACAGCGATGCTGATGACAGCAAGACAGAAACCAGCCTGGACACGCCGTTGTCGCCCATGGTAGGTCTGGGAACCCATCCCGCAGGGGCTCTGGAGCGTGGAAACCGTAGGGCATCCTTAATGGAAGCTGATAAAGAGCTGATCCTATTAAAATAGCAACGCTAAACCCCAGAGCAGCATCTTCAGCCATCAATAAAAGAAACGCGAGATGCTGAGGGGCAGATAGCAAATTGCCCCTGGCTAGCACATTGCTGCTGTAGAGCAGATGCCTTCATGTGAAGGTGTTCCTTCTCCTCCCTTCCTCCCTTTCTTTTTGGCTCTGATAATTATCAGGGCAGTAACGGGTATGAAGTGGTATTAGGTCCCACCAGCTTTCTTCTCTCCTCTCCTCTCCTCTCCTCTCCTCTCCTCTCCTCTCCAAATATAACACCACAGCCCCAGATGTTTTCCTCCAGCTTAACCAGTCCGTCCCTTCAACACCTATTGATCTGGTTGGCTCCTCTTTCCATCTTAAGTGCTCAAGTTGCTATTAGTAGTCAAGGGGGCCTATCTGGGAATTACTCTGATTTTTAAAGATAATCTTGTGGATTAAAATAAAAAAAAAAATCTGTGCTCCTCATCATTTCTGTAGAAATGATCCCACTTGTAAGTGCACAAAACAACATTAAGCCAACAGCAACCACTCGGTGCCGTAACGGCTGCGTGTCTGCTTCCCTAGAGCAAGCAGAGCTCGTCCTACTCCGACAGAGACACGACGGAGGAAGAGTCAGAGTCCCTCGACGACATGGATTTCCTCACCAGGCAAAAGAAACTCCAAGCTGAAGCCAAAATGGCCTTGGCTATGGCGAAGCCCATGGCCAAAATGCAGGTTGAGGTGGAAAAGCAGAACAGGAAGAAATCGCCGGTAGCGGATCTTGTAAGTGGGGGCCGTGGGATGGCGCGTGGGGGTAACACCAGCCCTGTTGCTGTTTGCTTTTGCTTGTTGAGCCATGGACAGCAGCTGGCAGCTCTTGCTTGTGGTGCTTGTAGACACACAGCAGTGGAGATCGGGACCGGCCGTCAGGACTTGAAGGGTTGACATGGGTTGTTTTATCGGGGCGTTACGGGAGCGGGAGGGATGCAGGGAATGAGATGATGAAGAGTGAAGGTTGTTACTGCCTTGAGGCCGGCATGATGCTGCTCATCCTCTAAGTCATAGTCTGCTCATCCCATCCCATCCCAGAGCACTCCTGCCTTGGTACAACACGGCTCGCCATAGCCCTCCCTTTACATCAGTATATTGCTGATGGTGGTAGATCTGAAGACTTGGGTGAAACGTTGTGTAGGTGTTTCGGCTCAGTGTGGTAGTCCCGGGCGAGTCGTTGATGCATGCTTGTGAGAGGGGGTGCAAGCAATGTAAACTGCTGCTGTTCAGAAATACAAATAGTGGGAAGAAAACAGCAAAAAAATCGAAAATTTCTTTTCAGCTGCCACATATGCCTCATATAAGTGAATGCCTGATGAAGAGAAGTTTAAAACCCACTGATCTAAGAGACATGACTATCGGGCAGCTACAAGTGATAGTCAATGATCTCCACTCACAGATAGAAAGTAAGTGATACTTGTTTAATTATTCTTTGGTATGTCCCGTTTAATTAAGAACAGTTCTCCAGGATACACATAGAAATGTTGGTAAATGTAGGATAACACGAGTATATGGAAGAGGCACACAGCAGTAGTTGGAGATGGAGTTCTCTCCAGATTTGGCTCCTTTGGCTTTTTTCTTTCCTTTTTTCAGTTTCTCCTAAAGTGCTCGCTTGGCTCCATAAGAGAGGAGGGTTGTAGCATTGTGCCAGCACCTAACGCCCCACTTGAAACTCAAAACCTGGTCGGGTAAAAATAGTTTTGGGAAGTCTGCCTGTCCTGGAAGCACCTGCCATTCGTGGCTTTATGGCTATGTCTTCACGTGACGCTATGCCATGGCATCAAAACTATCCACCAGTGGAGAGAGCCTCCAGTTTAGCAAACGTCCCGGGGTAGATCCACTCTTGCAGGGCTTCAATGCATTTCATGGGTCCTTGCATTTGCCCACAGGGACAGTGCCCCACCACCTCATCTGTCTTTGCTGTCTCCAAAAGATCCAGGGTTTTTTTCCCCCCAGGGAATTGCCATCTTCCTATTAATGAATTAATTAACAATTTGGGGAGTAGACTTCTCTGGTGGCTGTAGGTCAAAAAAAAGGTTGGTTGGGAGCTACTGTGCTGCTCCTTCCCTACTCAATTGGTTAATTGGCATCCCTTCTGGAAGCAGCCCTGCTGAGGATGCAGAACTGCGCCGTTGAGTCATGATTTATTTTTTGCTGCAAAGGCAAAAAAATATGCTAATTAATTAGCGTCACTTTAGAAAGCACCCAAGTATGGGAACATGAGGTCATTTACACTGAGCTTGCTTCCCAAACTGAAGGGGCGTTAAGCCAGTAGAGCTGTAGTTAAGCAGTCTAAACACCAGCTCGGGCAGTGAGTGACGGCCAGGTACAGCCTTCAGGGGAGCCCGTGCCAGCAGGTTCATTTTTCACAGGGTCCTTTTTGTTTTTCTTCCCTGCTCTTTGACACAACCCCGAGCAAGAATCCAATGTCACGAACATCCCTCTTGAGCAGAGGGGCCAGCTTGGGCAGTAACGCCAAACCAGGACGGGTGGGCAGCGTGTTCTGCGTTGCCGCAGGGAATTAAAAAGTTAACCCTGAGGCTGGCTGGGCGAGCGGCTCGGCCGCTTTCCGCAGCCTGTTTCTTGCTCAGGGTTATTGCCCCCAGGCGAGCCCAAGCTGAACCAGCGGAACTCCAAGCCCTGAGAAATTCATCTTTATTTTTGCTGCTGCATTAAGCTATTTCAAGAGAGGAACTGCTTGCATGCAGCGGCAAGGGGGCTTACAGTTTATCCCAGAAAACGCGCATCCTTTGGGGAGGTCCATCCTGGTTCTCTGCACCAGCTTTTGTGTCACGAGGTGGGGAAGGATGACGTACGGGTCCCAAAGTGGGGTTCCCTGGGATGTCACAGACTCACCCCCTTTCTCCCCGGCGCCAGGCTTGAACGAGGAGCTGGTGCAGCTGCTGCTCATTCGGGACGAGCTGCACACGGAGCAGGACGCCATGCTGGTGGACATCGAGGACCTGACCAGGTGAAGGAGGCTCCTTGGGGTGTTCCTCTCTCCTCGCAGGTCCCAGCCTACCGTGTAGCAGTTTTCTTTTAGCAGAATTTCGGTACTAAAGCTTTTGCCATCAAAGGTAAGGGCAGAGCAGGATGCTGCTCTCTCCTCCAAACCAAGAAATCACGGCACTCAGGTTCTGGAGACTGTCAGCAGTTTTCAAGAGCTCCCTGAACGCAAGTGTTGGTGCATGCTCTTGAACTGGTGTTCCCCTTTCCGAGGCCTGAAACGAGCCTGGGAAGGGGTGATGCTGCAAACCCAAGGAAAATCCAAGCGGCTCCCGGTGTCACCCCACTCCTCTCGCTGGGGTAAGCGAGAGCCGGTCTGCCTCCACTGTCAGGAGGACTTGACCGACGGGAGAATTTCTGAGTCTCTTAAATATTAATGTTCAATAGCTGATAAAATGGAAAACCCTGCAGAATATAGGCAGGTTTCCTGAAGGACTCCATCTCCCGGGCGGCAAGGCTGAAGAGGCATTTTCCTTTTGAGATTTCCTGCAGAAACATTAGGAAGCATCGAAAGCTTGGGGGAAAAAAGCAGCTGAAAAAGAAGGTGCGCTGGTTATTGTCAGCGCACTGCAACCACGGTTTCACGGCTGAAGCATTAAGCTTGCAAAAAATATGGCCTATATTTGTTTCTATTTTAAAACATCGTGGCGCTGCATAGCAGCTGGTTGAGATTTGACGGTGCTCTGCCTGGAAAAAGTTTCCGCCAGCTGGGGTGGCCAGTTCTCGTGCTGCCCAGGGGCTGGTGGCCGCGGGGACGAGCAGACAGGTTGTCACTTCGGAGTCTTGCGAGACACCGTCACTGCTTCCCTTAATGAAGAGCAAGCGATGAAAGGGGGGGGATTTGGGGTGGGGGCTGGAGCTGGGTCAGTAGGCAAATGCCAACGCCACCTCGCGTCTCTTTCTCCTGGGCTTTGGGAAACGCTTTGCTTCCTAGATGCAAGTAATGGCAGTTTAGTAAATGAAATTTATTTGGAAGCTGGTCAGGATGGTGGGGGCT